GTTTTGAATTTTGCGTATGGTGAAATACGACGTGGAGGATAGCCGAAGAAGGTTCGAACGTTCAATAGTTGGAAACGAAGGAAACGAGGATAATATGGAATCATCAGAACCTCGACCTCGACCAGCAACAAGAAAACAAAACGCACCTCCTCCTCCTCCTCGCGCGCCTCAACCTTGAACGTCTCGGGCGACGCGGTCGACACAAAGTGCGCGCCGGGGTGCAGCGCGGCGAACGCGGCCTCGGCGGCGAGCATACCGGTCTGGGGGCGTGGTGAGTAATGAACGATTAAATTAGGAGCGAATAGAGGATCAACATTAGGAGTGAGTAGAGTGGGAGGAGTGGAATGAGTGGAGCAGAGGAGATTAGTTGGTATGAAGAGAGTTGATTAGCGGCGGTAGGGCCGGGATAATTATTGTGAGGAAAGGGGGATTATCGTGATGGGGAAGGAATTATCCAACCCGACCCAGAGGAAATGAATCGAACAAAAGAAAGGTAGACGACCACTCACCCGCATAGCGTTGTGCGTCCCCTTGATCTTGGCCGTGTTCACCACGCCCGCGGCGCACCTGTAGCAGGCGTCAGTACGAGCGCGAAGAGCGTATGCATCAACCGAGCATGAGCCAGACGCGAGGAAAAGGGATGCGAAGAACGCGTCCCCGTAATCACGAAGAGAAGGAGTGATCCAACGCTGGCACGCACGACACGAAGTTTCGAACATGAAATGACCCCATTGTAGGGAAGTTCAAACTCGCTCCAAAAAAAGAGAGAGAGAATCGAACGCAAGGAGACAAGAAATAAACGCACCCAACAATCGCGCCCCCCGGGAAGTCCAGCCGCGGGAGGCTCTGCAAGCCGCCCTCCGTGAGCGCGCGCGCGCCGTATGCGAGGCGCTCGGCTTTGCCTGTCATTTAAGAAAGAGTCGGTCAGCATGATGTGCGAAAGTGGAGTCGGCAGAAGAAGCAGGCGCGGAGTCAGCATAAGTCATGGTGGGTGCGGAGGTGAGTTGGCATTGCGATGCACAAGCACAACCAACATCGACTGTACTAGTCGACCGCATAGAAAGAGGATAGAGAGAGAGCAACAAAGAATGAAAAGAACGCTACTCACCATCCGCCCCCTCGCTCAGCAGCGCACGGAAGTGCGGGTGGTGCTTCATGCGCTGTGGGAAATGTTGTCAGAATTCGCGTGTGCGATCGAAACATTGGATGGAAAAGAGTGGGTTGACAACTCCGCCAGAAGCCGCCGACGGAACCAACTACGCAGACACGGAGCGAAGTTCACCCGTTGTCCCGAAAGCGGCGCCGGCCCACAAACCCACCATGCATTCCGCATCTCTGAACAGGAAAGGGAAAATACAGTAAGACTCGTACACACCTGAAACTCCCGATACGGCTCCACCCACGGGTTCTTGTAGTCCAGCCCGACGACGAGCCCGATGCTGACCTGCGAAAGACATCAGCGTCATGATCAGATTCTCTTCAAGTTGGTCATATTTTTGGAGGGGGGAGGTAAGGAGGGGGGAAGGGAGGAACGAAAAGATAGGGAAGGAGGAGGACGCATCAAATAGAGCGAGAACGGCGTTCTCAGCCGACGGAGAGCACCAACTCTCCGCTCTCGCGATTTCGCGATTTCGCATAAGAGACTGCGAGACAGAAATCGGAACAGCGAAACTTCGCACGCGAGAGTAGAACGGCCAGACTGGTGCGGGAAGGAGGGCGGGCGGAGGGGAGGGGAGGGGAGCCTCAGCGCGAAAAGAATGCGTCGCTCAGGGCGCCCTCCGTTCCAGTAGCTCCTCCAAAGTGTGGAAGAATATAATAAAAATAGAAATATGATAAAGAAAAGGTTAAAAAAAACGCACCATCCCCCCACCCATATGATACTCCCACCCCCCTCCATAGGTGCCCACCTCCCACGTCGAGGGCGACAGGAGAGAGGGGAAGGACGTCAGCGGCCAGCCGAGCGTGTGGAGGACTTTGCCTATGTGTGTTATGAGTTTTTCTCTTCGTTCACATTTCCCAAAGGAGAAGAAAGGGGGCGAGTATGGGGAGAGGGAGATAAGGGAGAGAGATAGGGAGGATGGGGATGGGAGAGGGGGATGAGGAAGGAAGATGGAGAGGACGGAGCCTCCGAATCCGCGAACGGAAATTCGGTGCTTTTCAATCCATCGAGAGGCGTATCGAGCAGGGGATATCAAGTGAATCAATCGCACAATGGGCATAAAACGAACACAAGGGAGAAACGACGCAAGGGACAACTGGATATCCGAAAAAAGGAGGAATACAGAATATAGAGAACGAGAAGGAATGGAGAGAACGAGAAAACGAGGATATGTGGATGAAGATATGGCGCGTGCCCGGGCTTCGCGATTGAGTTTCTTCCGGTGCGTAAATTGAGGAAGTGAAAACGCGACGCACCAGCCTTCCACCTTCCCTCCGGCACGCGCCACACCTCCTTGACGCCGATGCCATACGTCTGCGGCTCCTTGCCCTTCCTGAGGTCGTACAGCGCGATGGCCTGTTTGGTGAGGGAGCCGTGGGCGCCCTGGGGTGTGTGTGAGTTAGCATTCGTATTAATCGAGATGCAGAATGCACCGTATTAACTGAGATCCAAAGCTGATTCCGACAGGGAGGGATTGCAAAAGCGGGTGGGAGGAAAGAACGAAGGTGGGAGGGAGGGAGGAACACGGTGGGAGGAAGAAAAAACGGGGAATGGGAGGAACGGAGGAAATGACCGGGGGGGACCACACACCTCCGCCAACAACGTCGCCTTCGCGCGGAACGCGACACCAGGCTCGAACCGTGCGCCCTTTGTGCGTTGGCGCGTGAGCCCGGCGTCGTGTGTTATCACGCCGCGCACTGAGCGTACTTCCTTCCCACCCGTCGACGCATCCGCCTCATCCGACATCAACAACCGCGCGCCCGCAAACCCCGCATACACCTCCGCACCCATCCCCTCCGCGATGCCCCCCAGCCACGCCGCCACCCGGCTCAGACTCGCGATATAATTCCCCTTGTTGTTCATCTGCGGCGGGTGCGGAATCGGTATCGCCCTCCGCTCCGTGAAGAAGCGCATCCCGCTCGACGTCACCGGCTGCGTCAACGGGTGTTCGCCGTATTCACTGTACTCGCCTTCCGGACCGCCGGTACGCCATTCGGGGAGAAGGGCGTCGAGGGCGGAGGGCTCGATGACCGCGCCGGAGAGGATGTGGGCGCCAACTTCGGAGCCCTTTTCGAGGACGACGACGCGCACGGGGAGGGAGGTGAGGGCCTCGAGCTGTTTGAGGCGGATGGCGGCGGCGAGGCCGGCGGGGCCGCCGCCGACGATGCAGACGTCGACGAGCTCTTCTTCGCGCGGCTCGGAGGCGGGGTCGTAGGGCGTGTAAGAGGAGGAGGAGGAGGAGTAAGATGCTGACGGGGAGTGGGAGTGTGGCGAGGATGAAAGGGAAGAGAGGCGGGTGGTGGTTGTGTGCAGGCGTCTGGCTGGCGGGCAGAGTCGAGACAGCATCGACGCGGAGGACAAGATTCGGTTATCACGTGGAAGGTGAGTCGGCCCGAAAATTAATTGTGGGTCAGCCAATCACGAGAGGGCGGTTAGCGTCCGGGTTGTTCGGCGTTGTTGGTTCAACGAGCCACGCATACTTCCGTAACGGTGAACGATAGTCTACTGCAGACCTAAACTACTTGGGAAAAAGTGGGGCAAAAAGGCTCTACAAGTCCATTGAACAGCTCGAACGCGGGGAGTCGAACCCCGATTTGCAGCTGAAATCGTAAATGTCCTTTGCCAGGTCCTGACCAGGGCTAGCTGCTGTGCACCGCGCACTACACCCGAGTCAGTAGTATACTTTTGTTCTTGGATAGGCGACCGAGTTCAGAAATTCAGAACCACGACACAGGTGAAACAAAGGTTGAGCCGCTCAGATTTGAACAGTCCTCGACTGCAGAGACCGGAATTGAACATTCCAACGAGTCCTGTGCAATCAAAATTGAACGGTCGCAAAGAAGTGGAAAAAGAAAACTTTGAACCGATATTCATATTTTCCATTCGGGTGCAGGGAGTCGAACCCCGCTCTGCAGCTGGATATCGAGCTACCATTTACATTTAGCTGCTGTGCACCGCGCACCACACCCGAGCCGATAGTGTACTTGAGTACCTGACTGAATATGTGACCAGTTTGCAATGCAGAATGTCAGCACAGACAAAGCAAGAAATAAACCTTGGGAATTGAATTCTCCCGCAATTGAAACGGTTGAATAATGCTGCAAAACGAAAGTTTGCCCGTCTGAGCCTCGGAAGATCGTGCCAGGTTGAACAAAATGAAGTGAGTGAGGAGGAAGGCAGCGGGAGAAAAAAGAAAGCAGCTGCAGAGTTCCCTGAATTATTCGGGCGCGGGGAGTCGAACCCCGGTCTGCAGATGAACTCATAACAAGGGGCTCTGCTACCAGTAGCTGCCGTGCACCGCGCACCACGCCCGAGGTGCGGGTATGCTTCAGCCGGTTCTTCCGTACGTGAGGGGGCCCATACGAGGGAAACGAAGTTGAAGGTTAAACCGCCCAATTTTAAATATTCTGCAGGAATTGGACTTGCCAGAGACTGCAGCAATCGAAATGTTTGTAAAGAAGAAATGGGGTTTTAAAAAAAAATCACAGGCTTTCGGAATCCGACTATTCGGATGCGGGGAGTCGAACTCCGGTCTGCAGTCGAATACATCAAACTCCTTCTTTCTAAGGGGTAGCTGCTGTGCACCGTGCACAACATCCGTGTCAAGCGTATACTCTGATCCTCGGATGTGAGCAGTGAGTTCAGAAATAACGGCAGGCGGATAAAAAAGGTTGAACAGCCTGAACTGAATGTTCTTCGGACTTTTCCAATTGAAACCGTTGAATGATGCTGCAACCAAGACTTTTGTCTGTCTGGCACGAATGAGTTTGAATATATATATGAAAAGTGAGTGAAGAGGAAGGCAGCGGGGTGCAGAAAAAGGCAGGAGCTCCTGAATATATTCGGGTGCGGGGAGTCGAACCCCTTTCTGCAGCTTACGCTATAGCGATGTGGTCCAAACGTGCTGCTGCTGTGCACCCTGCACCACACCCGAGTTGAGAATATAGTTTTGTATCCTGTAAGGTGAGTCAGTCCGACAATAACTGCACGCGAAATGCAAAGGTTGAACCGCCCAAAATCGATTATCTGCACGGACTTGGATGATGCTGCAGCTGCGGGTTCTGTTGCCTGTCCTTCAACAATCGTGACAGCTGGGATAACCAAAGAGATTGAACCCGAAGGCAAAACAGGACAATGAACAAAAACAAAAAACACGCACCAGTTATTGCATTCGGGTGCAGGGAGTCGAACCCCGGCCTAAGCTGCAACTTGCAATTGCCGCATAAATTCTCGCTGTGCACCGTGCACCATGCCCGAGCTAAGCATATGTTTTTGTATGCTGTAAGGTGAGTCAGTCCGGAAATAATCGCACGCGGAAAGGAAAGTTGAACCCGCCAGATTGAATATTCCTCGGACTCGACAGCAATCCAAACGGTTGAATGATGCTGAAACCAAGAGTTTTCCTTCTCCGGCTTTGAAAAAAGGTGCATCAGTTTGAACGAAATGAATTGAGTAAAGAGGAAAGCAGCGGGTGAAAAAAAAATGAAGAGCTCAAAGAAATATTCAGGCGCGGGGAGTCAAACCCCGGTCTGCAGCTGGATTCAAATGAGTTCTTACTACCATTAGCTGCCGTGCACCGTGCACCACACCCGAGTTGAGGATACCCATCGGTCCTGGGCTGGGTCAGAAATAATGGCACGCGGAAAATGAAGGTTGAACCCGAATTCGAATGGTGCCTGCAACCAAGGATTTTTGTCTGCCTGTGCCTAAAAAAAGTTCATCATTTTTAATGAGACAGGTGGCTGAGAAAGAAGGCAGAGAAAGAAAAAAAAACTGTAAGATCGTTCATTCAGTTCCGGCGTGGCGAGTCGAACCCCGTTCTGTAGCTTGATCCTTCGAGGACGAATCATGAACTGATGTGCACCACGCACCTGGACCACACCGGATTCGAGGATATAATTTGACCCTTAGATAGGTGAGCACGCTCAGCACCGCAGAGTCCAGACACAGCATGCAGAAGACAAAAGTTGAACTGACCTGAGAATAAATTTAATATTCCCGGAATTCTGTGAGTTCGGCTCAAGGAATTGGGACCGTCTATGACGGAGGTAAGCATGGAATGCGTAAAAAGAAAGGAAAACTGCTGATTCCTGGGTATTTGGGTGCGGGGAGTTGAAGCCCGATGTGCAGCTGAACTCTTATGATGCGAATAACACACAAATAGTTTTGAAGTTTGCGATAGAAAGCGAACGCCGAGCGGGCCCATAACCTGTTGAAAACTGAGTGGATGGTTGAGAGAATAAATTCAATGTTTACTATAGACAAAATCCGAAGTACTGTAGTATTTCGACCAAGTATTCAGGTGACGCGTGACACGGCCCTCTGAATTGTCGCTGTGAAGACTTTCGGACTTGGTGACGGTGACAATCGAATTTTGAGGCCCAAAAGGCCAAAAAACACCATAATTTTCGCTCCGGCATCCGCCGAAGCTCCATATATGGGAATTCTGTGGTGATAGCCGGAAAATGAAGACTTGAGAAAATGAATACTTGTGGTGACTCGTGACATGCCCTGAATACTTGGTCGAAATACTACAGTATTTATACTCTACAGAATTGTATCTAGAATGTTCTTTGAGATAGGCTGAATAATGCATGAGTAAGACAAATGGAGCGGAATATTCGAGTGTATTCGGGCATGTCGGCGCATCAGAATCGGGCTTAGTCAGCCTCGGTGATGGCTCGGTGTTCGCTTTCTATCGCAAACTTCAACAAGTAGCTGCCATGCACCGTACACCACACCTGCGGTGACAACATACTTTTGTACCTGGATAGGTGGGTAGTTTCAGCGATGCAGAAAGAATGTAATTTGAGGTTGAACCCTACGAATCAAGTATTCTAGATATGTAAAGATGGGAATGAACACACAGTACATGCGGAGGGCGTGGCAGTTCGACTGGAAAAAACCGGAGACTGTGGAGAACTCACTTCAATTAGGTTGAGAGACATGTAATCAAGAGGAGGAGGAAGACAAAAAATCATGCATCGAAACCCAACTATTCGGATGCAGGGAGTTGAACCCCGGTTTGCAACTATATGTGTAGATCAAAACAGAGAAGTAGCTGCTGTGCACCGTGCACGACACCCAAGTTGAGGATATATCATATGTATGTCCTTGGATTTCTAGGTGAGCAACCTCAGAAATAACGGCAGGCAGAAATAAAGGTTGAACCTCTAGGATATTCTACAGAGGCGAGAATTGAATATTCTATCGAGTCTTTTGCAATGAAAACGATTCAATGATGCTGCAGCGAAGAGTTTTGTCGGTCTGGGTTCCAGCAATAGTGGCATCTTGGACAAAGCGAAAAGAGTAAAGAGGAAGATGGAGAAAGAAAAAAAGGTGTATCGTCTTTGCTTCTTATTCGAGCACGAGGAGTCGAACCACATTCTGAAACCTGCAACTGTGACTTCAATGCAGAAATTGTTGCCGTGCACCGTACACCACACCCGATTGAAGGAATGATTCGGTCCGTCTGTAGGTGGATGCTTTTACCACAGCGAGTAAGGATGTCGAAAAAAATGAACTGGAACTTTAACCAACTGAGGATTCACAAACGGTTTCGGAGCAGACCAGAATATTCCGAGCGGGGGTTTTCATTGAGGCTAAACGTTAAGTTTCTTTGGTGATCAGTCCGCCAGTACTGTATTTTTTCAATCAGATCGACACGGGGTGTGACGCGTGACCACCCGGGACCAATTCGACAATTCGATAGCCCCCAAAATTTCGCGTGACCACTGGAAAATTTTCGAAAATTCCAGTGCGAAATTTCATTTTTTGGTGTTTTTCGGGGATTTTGCCCTGCGTGACCCGAATTTTTGGTTCGATAAAGCCGTGAATGACGCGTGACCTCAATCAAAATTCGATATCGACACGGGGGTGCGTGACGCGTGACTGTCGACCTGATTGAAATAATACAGTACGTCGTAAACTTCCGAGAGCGATTGGAGGCACAGTGAGTGAGTCGGTGGAAACAAAACATCAGCACGGAATATAATTCAGGTGCAGGGAGTCGAACCCCGATGTGCAGCTGAACTCTTACGCTGATAAGTGTATCACACACAAGTAGCTGCGGTGCACCGCGCAACACACCCGAGATAATGGTATACTCGGGACCTTGGCTAGGTGAGTGACTCTGAGTTCAGCAACGCAGAGTCACGATGCGAGAGAAACGAAGGTTGAATCACTCAAATTCGAATATTCTGCAGACATGGAAATTGCAGGCGGCAGTTTAGGAAGACTTGTCGCCCATTCAGTCCCATCGACGGTGATTCAACGGCTCTCTGCGCCGAATGGTATCAGCTAGTACATAGATGGACCGAGGAGGGCAAATAAAAATGATACAAACTACAAGCTCATTCTGGCGGGGAGAGAACAACCCCGGTCCGCAGCGGGAGCTTTGGAAACGAGGTATTCGTAGCAAGTATCTACCGTACACCACGCACCACACCCGAGCCGCGGGGATCACTTTGCTCCTCAGGGAGGTAAACAACTTCGGCCAGGCAGAATCACAGCACGCGGAAACCAATTGTTTAACAGCTGAAATTATACAAAAGCGAAAGTTGTCATTCGCCAACTCTCCGTCCAGTGATTTGACTCTCCTGCGCCGAAGAGGCAGACAGAAGTTGAGAAAGTTGAACGTTGACCCTGTGTTAATGTTTGAAATTAGGAACTTGGCTAGAGATACCTATCTCGGATACTCTTCCACAACTTCTGCGTGACAGTAAAAGTGCGGGTGATTGATTGAATCGACGGGCATATGGCATAACTTGCAGCATGACACGGCCACCACAGTCAACCATGATTTGGCAGTCAGAGTATCGAGCTCAGTAGTGCGTGCACCTGGTGGCCCAGTTGCAACGTGTTTCCCTCGTGTTCAATGTTGCGATTTCAGACTTCTGAAGTTAACTTGATTCGAATGGGTGGTAGAAGGGAGATACTGTGTCAATGGTACGAAAAAAGAAAGAAGAAGGCTGCCTGGGATACATACTGTAGTCTGTAGATTACTATCGCCCTAATTTCAGGAGCACGGGATCACCATCCATATCCCAAATTCTCGTATCGTCGTGATGGGGGGTAATTTTTGCGACAGACGGTGATCACCTTCCGGACGCAATATAAAAATAGCCCTTGTTTTTCCACAATGGGAGCACCAAGCTTTTTCGAGGAGATCCGAGCGACAACATTATTGAACTGCGACAACGATTCCGCCGGATCGGGGCGGTCCTCTGGCTTTGGGCTCATCATGCGGACTGCCACGGGGCGGAAGGCACTTAGAGCGGGATACTTCTGGACATATGCACCGCAGGGGTGTTCAAATCAAAGGTCAAGCCAGAATGCAAGAGGTGGAATGTAGGCTTACCTTTATTAAGTTGTGCATCATCAGTCCGAGCTGAAAAATGTCGACTTTGAACGGATTGTAGGGAACCGTCAGCGAAAGCTCCGGGATAGTCTTGAAGGTTCTTAGTGTCGCTGTGGTTAAGGCCGCCTCCTTTCCGTTCGGAAAGTACATGGAGAGACCGAAATCGATATAGTAGTAAGCGACTGGACTAACTGAGCAGCGGTTTTCCCATGAGAAGACGCCCGGAAAGCCTGTATGTGACTTCGGAGAGCAAAAATGTGATCCAGCGGGGACGACGTGGGATTCATCCATCAGAAGATTTTGGGGAGCTATATCGCTGCTCAAACTAGTCAGAATGTTTCCTAATACCAAAGTAAACATACAAATGACAGATATTGTGTTCGTGCATAAGCTCAAGACCCTGGAAACATTGAGGCCGTGCAAATGAGACAACGAATAATGATAGCACGGTACCTCCAAGTATTGTCGCATTGCTTCCACAAATTCTGAGCGACAGTGAAAGGGCGGATGGTTGAATACACGGGCATTCGGCATAACAAGAAGAGAGAAGGAATTATCTGGTGGCACTGCTAGGATGTCGAAAAGTGGAATTGTGTGATTGCGTGGATCACGTATCTCGGAAAGATACTTGATAATGGCTAACTCTGTGGAAGCTGTCTCGACTCGCTTCAAGACAACCTTTTTGCCGTCCTCGATGCGGATGGCATCAACCATATTGCAGTACTGTTTAAGATGAGACACTGCATGTAGTGGTCAAAGAAAGTCTGGGTTACGATGTATAGCCCAAGAGAATCTTCATATTCTCCTATTTTTTTACCTTTCCACGACGGAATCCAATCAGGATCATAGCGCGGCCGCAGCCTGTATCCCACCGAGAGTAAGAAAGGCTGCATATCAACCCAGATGTGCTCTGAGTCGTCCGGGTTCATGAAGTAGTTGGAGAGTGAGGTTGACACGTTGCTTGGAGCTGTAAACTGCCTTTGACGTGTACAATTTCTCACGCCCCAATTTGGACGGCGTAGTAGGTAAGGCTAGGCAAGGTTTATGATAGCTCTTCCTTTTCTCGCTGTTATCGATTTGATCTTTCCCGGAAAACCCTTCTGAAAATAGATGTTTGGGAATTACCGGGCACCGGTGCGGACTTGACAACCAGGTCTTTGGAGGGTCAGAAATTCCATCTCCGGAAATCGATCTTCCCTTTCCTCGCTGTTGTGTGTCTCGGAAGAATTAAAGC